TGCAACCCAGTAGAACTTGCCCCAGCCGCTGTTTGCTGCCACGAAATGGACCGTCCACAGAGTCAGCAAACAACCCACTGCGTCCACAACCGAGAACCCTCTGGCCCATGCAAGGTGATCACCACCACGGGATTCGTCCATCAGAGCCTTGCAACCAGATGCGTCCAGTAGTTGGTGAAATTCTTCCAAGTCTAGGTTCTTCAGATCGCCATAGAGCTGAGAGCCAGCAGGAGGCTTCTGTCGTGCTATGAAACATATGATGCCCGGTCCCGAGAATACTTTCTCTCGGAATCTTCTCTACGCCCTCATCCACCACTATCCCCAGGACTTTCGCACGGTCTCCCCCTTTGTCACGACGAGAAAATTTCGATCCAGAAAATGAATACCGGCGCGCTGTCGGACTCCCCGTTGTCGGGTTCATGCTAAATTCTGCCAGTTGCATGACAGGCATAGGGTTTGGGAGGCTCACGCGGTCGCCGTCGCCATCATTTTCGTCTTCAAAAAAATACTGCGACGAGCCACCAACGCCCAGGTAGCCACGTCGAGACCTTCTGCCGTCAGCAGCGCGCATGCCTAGACGTATCGTCGAAAGAAACAGCCAGCACACAAACGTAATTCCACCCATTGCCGCAGTAATCACATGTCTGTTGGTGATCCCCATCACCAGTCTCACCTCGTACGTACCGACGCACGAACTAGAGGGATACGGGTACGACGCATGACAGGTGATTGAGCAGTCCACCATCTCTTCCGGCGAACCAACCACCTCGCAAATTCCTTCCTCCATACCGACCGCAGAAAGGCTGTCTGGGAGCCAATCGCTGCCCGATAGATCTTCTACCTCGCCAAGGATATAGGACCTTACGTCAACCGTTGAATTCCTAACCTCACTCGTATGGACACGTGCATCCCGGAAATAAAACCTCAGCTCACATGCAACCGACAGTCCTTCTGGCTGATAGCAGAAGAATATTGGGTCTGAGAGCTCGTAAATCCCCGACAGCGATCCGGTGGAGAACAAGAGCTCAACATCAGCAGCGCTAGCACCCTCAGGCAGGCCAAGCTCCGTTAAGTTCCCGGGTATGAAAAAAAAGTGACCCGTGTACTGCCCGTTTTCGTCACAGAACCGGTGCGTGGAGACAACGTCCAAGGACGTTCCAGTGTCACATTCGCCGTCCATTCCCTGAGGAGACATGGTATCCACACCCTCCAACGAGTAGTAGTCCACCGAAGGGCTGCGCACGCACAGATGATCGTCTTGGCTCACTCTTCGACCCCCCGCGCCCGTAACCCAGTTCCAATAGTACGAGAAACCACACGCTCCGTTGTCTAGCTCCCAGGTCACTTTGGAAGCCAAGGAGCCGTCCGCGACCTTGTCCGCCAGATAAAGGCGAACTTTTTCGCTCAGGTCTCCGATCGGCTCTCCGACGAACTCGTTCGTTTCAGTTACAAACTTGGGGGGGGTTGACTTGTATTACCACCGTGTTCACGGCGAAGTAGACGAACAACACGAGCGACCAGCAAAGCCGCTGCCGCACATGCCTGGAGAAAATACCTACATGGGGCAGAAGGTGGACGTGCGAGAGAGAGCCGTATTCCTATTATATGCTCCGGAGTAGTAGGTCAGGGTGCATGTGTGAGCTTTCATTGCGACATCGGAGTCGGAGAACAGCATGGGTGTACACGAGGGCACGCGGCGATGGAAACAGGAAGTGCCGTAAGGTACGTTATATACCGCCAAAATGGGCGATACCTCACCTGATAATGTCAGTTCTTCAAACAATGACCACGTGTGTGTACGGACCACGCAAAGAGTGGGCGCACCCATCAATGAAACTACCGGCTACATAGGAAGTCGCCTACGACATCGCGCCACGCAATTGACAACATTGGCTTGCAGGAGAAAAAAAACTGGCAATTTCAGTGGGATCTGCGTGGGTCAAAATCAAACATCGCCAATCCGTACTACGGAGCCGTCGGCACTTGGATCTAGCCGGTGTGTGCCACGCTGAGATAGCGGTTTCCGGTCGAAAGTAAGGCAAACTGGTGATAGCCGTGGCGAGAACTCACGAGACGTTCCTCCCTGCTAAAGTTTTACACGGTAACGCTGGATTCACGAAGCATCAAGCGACATCTTGCGCTTGACATTGATTGCTTTGGTCGTGGCCAAACGAATAGAGACGACAACCAGAACAAAGCACGATCGACAAACAAAAGGGCAAGTCAAAGAGAAGTAGATCCTTCAATACAAATGGGGGTAGTGGCAAATCAAATCAAGCCGCGCATCTTCCTGGCCTACGACTTTTATTGCCATTCAATACTGCATCGTGGGTTCAAGCGAGAGAAGCAAGACCGTGTGAATTTTGTATTGAAACCGCTAGACTTGTGTCGCCTGGCATCACTGCTTACTGGTGTGGTACCCAGCAGATCTTATCCCAACTCCTACGCATCCTTCGAACGACTATTTTCGCTGGCGGGTACAATCTTTCCTTGCTGTGTCATAATTTTCCGCAGTTTTTTCATGTGCGTACGTTCGGTGGATGCCAAATAGAAGAAACACCCCCCCCCGAGACCAACGCCCCCCCCGGCGAAGTTTCGACCGATCCGCCCGTTTTACCACACTCACTCAGACGAGTTACCAAGTAGAACAGGAAATTAGCACCCTAACCAAAAAAGGATTGAAAGTAAGCCGACGCATATATCCTTTCTGAACGCGGAGGGGCGTAATTTGTTTTTTTGCGCGAACAGGTCACCTCGGGGCGTTCTCAATGGTGACGGGGAGAAGAAACATGGTAGAATGCGGCCAGGAGAAGCAGCACCGCATAACTCACAACTGCCTCTGCATTAACTACCGAAGGTTAATAAGATACCACACCCCCTGGACCGATTTTCAAAACTCGACCACTCTGCAGCCAAACCAGCGGCGGTGCCGAAAATTGTTCATCTTTGATCAATCTCGTTGAGAGCTTTCCGAAATCGTTCAATTTGGGTTTGGTATCCATTTTGTCATGGAGATATCGAGCTTGGAAATTCGATCCAGGGGGTGTGGTATCTTATGATACCTATGGTATCCCTGATATTCTGATTTCTGTCAGTTGTTGTTGTCATCAGGGGTAAAGGCGAAATAGGTTTCAAGACAGGTATGCCCACAAATCGAAACCTGGGGCCGGGGGGGGGGTACACTGTGAGATTTGCACCTCTTCCTTAGAATCACCTTTCTATATATTCTCTGTCATCGTGAACTGTGTTTGGTTGTTGGTTGCCGCAACAGCAATTCACTGTGGCAGGAAAATCGCCGACCCTACACAGAGAGGGGCTACACAGACTCCAGCTGCTCAAGGCCGAGCCCGAGCGGACTCACGGCTTGCAGAACTAAGCAGCGGGGAAAATCTTTAACAACAACGTAGACAATGCATGGTCTCCTCGAATCGTCGAATGCAATCACAAGTGGCAAGCACAGGCACATCTATGCTGCCAAAGGGACACCCGGAGCAATAGCCTCGAGCAACAACAAACGTGGGATACATGCACGATCCTACCGCAGACCTGTTGTTGTTGTCTTATCATGTGTACGAAGTACTATGCTTCCTGTAGTCTGCTCTACTGTTAATAACGTACAATATCGGTCATTTGTATGCTCCGACAAAAAATAATTTTTCTCAAAGAAATATGTTTTCTCACAGGCCGAGTCTTACGTCGTGATTATTTCGGGATTTTTATTGGGGGGGGGGTCCTTTTCTCAGCCCAAATAATTATTTGAGCGTCTTACGCGGAGGAGTTTGGCCAATTCCAAACGCCCAAATTCCAAATCGCCGAATATTTCCTAGGATCCCAGTTGCCGCGTTGGAAAATATGCCCATTTTCCAAACTGGATCGGCTGATAATTTCCAGTTTGGAATTGGGGGGGGGTACCCCCTCGTCACACCCCGATCGTGCCAGAACGAGGAACTACACCGTCTGCTGGCCCAACAGAGGCCAGTATCATTAGGCCATGCACAAACCCTCTGCAGGTATCAAAAATTCAGGGCGTTCTGCGTCGTGTTGGCCGCACACGAGCCGATAACGTCAACCCGGCCACATTGCTCTGCTGACATTCTTGCCTTTGGGCCGAAAAGAGCCGATTTTGTGCCTGCTGCATGTGTGATTAGTCAAAACACACGCCAGAGAGTGGCTTCACGCCGTCGACATCCACAAACTGCAGCGAGTGGCGTGTGATCATATGCATACCCTCTGCTCACGTCCCAGAAATAGATCATATTATCCAGTTTTGATTGCAGACGGCCTGTAAACGTAAACCGAAGTGCGTCGCGGTGTTGACGTTTTGGACTTTTTTCTTGTTCCGCCGCGTGTTTGCCCCGTGTGTCACCCGCTACCAGCACACAACACATGCCAGAGAGAGGCTTTCGGCCGATGACATCCACAAATGGAGTGTGATCATACACAATCGCTCTGCTCGCGTCCCAGAAGCAGAGCGTATTGTCCAGTTTTGATTGCACACGGCCTGTAAACGTGAACCGAAGTGTGTTGCGATGTTGTCTTTTTTTAACGTTGCCTTTTTTTTTCTGGTTGCTCCGAGCGTGATCAATCCACAACGCATGCAGAGAGGCCTTTGGCCGACGACATCCACAAACTGCAGTCACTGGCGTGCGATTATATACATGCCCTCTGGAGGCGTCCCATAAACAGGGCACTCGGTGTCTTGTTGGTCGCACACGAGCCAAAACCGTGAACTGAAGCATGTTGTGACCCACAAAGACTTGAATCGGCCCTTTCTTTCCCCTGAGAAAAAAATCTGTCTCGAGGAACCGGAAGAAGGGTCGTTTGGATCCAGATAATTTTTCCCTTGCAGACCACCCCCCCCCCCCACCGAGAGAAAAAAAAATCTCCGAAATAATCACGACGTAAGGCTGACTCTTATGGCTCCCGAAAGTTGGCCCGACGGATTTTTTCGGACGGGCATACCCCCCCCCCCCTGATATCGACCAAGAGACAGACCTCTCACCACATCACCACAGAGTTCTCCCTCCATGATTGTCGGGTCGTCTCCAGAACTTGAAGGCTGTACGCACCACACCTGTAGGCGTCTTTGAAGCTAGTGGTGACTGCTGTGGGGTCTGTGTGTGCTGAGAAATGTCAATCCATGTGAGCAAAAGTAAGAATCCGTTTGGAGAATCCGTCGAGGATTCTATACGATAATTATATAACGGCACGCGTTCGAGCCCATCCACTACCCCAACCAGTTTGCGCTTGGCGCCCTCGCCCATTTCAGGACCTTGAGGTGACCCCCTATGGCAGCCTGCCGGCGTGTTTCTTCATCCCAGCCGCAGCCCCGTGCTCGAAGCCTTTTGAGGATCCCAAGGTGTCCACTCCCGGTGGCCTGAGCACAAGTCGCTGGGGTCCACCCGCAACGATTAGCTTTCGCGAACTCAAGGAGGCCGGGTTTCCCGAAACGAGCAGCGGCGCTGCAACCCTTCTTCGCCGGAGGTCGAAGGGTAGGCCAACTTCCAGGCA